ATGTCTGGTCTCTCCCATGACGGTGGCTTGGCCTGGCTCATGACAAATTTAGTAATTTAGCAGTAATTTTCAAGGGTTTGTCTGTGACATATCTACTGCTGCTTTTATTGTTAAGGGATCTCAAGTGGTTGTGGCAGTAATTTTCAGAAAATGCCCCAGAACAACATAGGTTTATAATCCTGTAATCGCTCCCTCTGGTGGCCCCAGTAACTATGAGCCAAAAAGGTGTTGCAGAACCGCAATGTTGGTGGAGGAGGAGATCGGGGTGAATGAATAGGTCAACAAAACACTGGACTTTAACATGGGAGATGTCAATCAATGTTTTGTGTTTTTCTAATAACACAGCTCCATAACATTTAACACATTTATCATTTTAACCATTATGATGATGGTCCTCTAATCCTAACAAAGTACTTATTTTAACTCAAATCTAACTAACTTATCCAAACTGTTACCATAGCATTCCTGTTGGTAATGCAGCCTATAGGGAGGACTTCACTGACACGTAAAGAACATACGACACATCTGAGGAGACATCTCTAATTATGAAATACTATATTTGGCTCTTCATGTCATTTAATCCATCAGTTTACATGGAAACACAGAGTCACAGCGAAGGCACAGCAGGTGAAGTTCTACTGTTTCACTCACTTCAGTTCCTCTGAAACTGAAGGTGAACAGCAGCATGACAGCAGAGAAAACTCTAAACACAGCGGATGTGGATTTGATATGCGTGTGAGGCGCAGAGGTGCAAACTGTGCACAGCCTCAGATGCAGAGGAAGAGCAATAGCGAGAAAACCCACATCCTGTTCCATGAAGTGGAGCAGAGGCGCCACTTCACCACCGTGACCTCCGTCTTTTCAACTTCCTCTTTTTTTTTTTAGTGCGGGTCCCTCAGCCAGTGACCGCTCTGTGCTCGGAACTGAATACATGTATAAGTGGGCGGATGAGAACCTCGAAGACTTCTAGGGGTTAAGAGTGTCTTTATAAGCAATTGATTTGAAGAAGTGCTGAGCAGGAGTGCATACTCAGAATAAAAGGGTCATATTTTGAGGATTTGGCTCTAAGCACCCAACATGCAATATTCATTCAACCTTTTCCATCCTGTCTAACAACAGTGACTCAGAATGAAAAGGGGAATTTTTTTTCTAAACATGTGGTATGACTGGTTAAGAGTTAGCACTGCTGATAAGACTTTAAACAGAATTTAAACTTGCAGCCATCTTTTAACACGAAAGGGAGAATTTGTCTTCCAAGTTGAAACAGACACATTTAAAACTTCTGGCTTCATGATACACTTAAAAGATTTCGCATATTTTCTGTCCTAACCAGCATTTGACATAACAACACACTCCTAATTTCCAAATACAGACTTCTCATCTCCTCTTTTGCTGCAGGGTGTCTACTACCTGGTTGAAAATGGACTTCTTGAATGGCGATCAGACTCGGTGGCAGAGTTTCTCTACAAAGAAGAAGGACTGAATAAAACCGCCATCGGCAACTTTCTAGGAGAAAGGTAGTGTACTCAGACAGCTAATGTGGGGATGGAATCAGATTCAAAGAACAGTCAAGGTCCACTGTGTTAAAGCAACAGACAAGTTGCATGTGTTTATTTAGAGCAACTCCTTTTAATAAGACCACAAGTTTTCCTGCTGCCTTAAAAATACAAGTTCATTGAGCTTAGGTTGACTAATTGGTTCAAATTCATGTAAAACTAACTGTGTGAATTTAAAACAATATGTTCAATAAATTTGAGCTTGAACTGATGTTTAGTGTACAGCAACAGGGACAACGCATGCTGGGAAGTGTGCTAATTTGCTAGTTTTGTTTCTCCATAATTAAAAAGGTTGTGTTTAAATTCTGAAGTGATGTGAAAATAACTACATATTTTAAGTTGAATTAACTTTCAATTAACAAAATAAATATTTACAATATATTAAGAAGAAAAGAAAAGTTGATTCCACTGATGAGCCTTCTTGGTTGATCAAAGTCTTGCACCTGCATTTTGTTCTCACAGTTGACTCTGAATGGAACATATTTGCAGAACAAGACACAACACCTGTCTGATAACATCTGGCAGAGAGCAGTCCCTCCCTTTTTTGACTGTGCATGTCTTCAGATTGTCTCAGCAGCATTTCTGTTTTGAGTCTGTGTTGGGTGGCTTATACGTTTCTAATGTAGATTTTCAGTTTGGTGATTTTCATTGTTTATCTGTTTTCGTGGTTGTCACACAGGGAAGAAATGCATCTGGAGATACTGAAAGCTTTTGTGGGTCTACACGAGTTCTCAGATCTGAATTTGGTGCAGGCGCTGAGGTTTGTGAAAGTCAGCTTAAGATGTTGCAGCAGTTTCACTTCAGTCTAGTTTCTCTGATGATGCGTGATCAAATCTGTCTTCTTTTTTTTTTAACACCTCCTCAACCTTGTAGACAGTTTCTGTGGAGCTTTCGTCTCCCGGGAGAAGCTCAAAAGATTGACAGGATGATGGAGGCGTTTGCAACTCGCTACTGTGACTGTAACCCAGGGGTCTTCCAATCCACAGGTACGAGCACAAAGAGGCTGATTCAATCTCTCCCAGAGTCCAATTAACAAGATGAGCTTCTGCTTCTTTAATTAGAGAATTCTCTACAAGACGCATCTGCTGTCAAAAGAAGCCACAGAAATGTCTTATCTCTCCGATCACAGCAAACCAAATGTTCAATATAAGAGTTTGGCTCAAGGAAACTTTACAGAAACCTAATATTTTTTTAATGGGTGCACTTTGTACAGCTGAGATAGTGACAACAGTGCAGACATTTAACTGTGGTTTTCTTTTACAGACACCTGCTACATCCTGTCTTTTGCTATCATCATGCTCAACACGAGTCTCCACAACCCCAACGTGAAAGACAAACCCAGTCTGCAGCGATTTGTCTCCATGAACAGAGCCATAAACAACGGGGAGGACCTGCCCACCGAGCTGCTCACGGTCAGCTGCTTTCTTTTTATTCCGCATCTTCAGGTGGTACAAAAACAAAAGAGCAAAATGGCGACAACATGATAAAGCTGGAATGTCAGGTGACTGTGGAGGAGAGACGTTCTTGCAAAACGACAATAAAGAAACACATAAGAACACGAGGATACCCAACGGGGCTGCAAAAAGACACACAATGACCACAGGGATCCAACA